AGCCACAATTCGTGGTGTATCCGTTGAGTCGGTGGTATAATACAGCAACCCGTTTTTCAACAAATATGGGTGTAACCGTGCGCGCAAACGCGCCGACAATATCTTGCCTGAATTTCCAAACTTCTTGCTCTCAAGAGCCTGTAGCAGCGCTACACACATACTGTCGCCTGCGGATGCGGCACGGTCCAAATTCATCACTGACGACGTCACTGACGTGACATGAACAAACCCATAGTCCGGTCTGCGTGATGATGCATCAGTCAAAGCATTCTGCTGACTAGCTTATACTTTACCTCAAAATTATATTTTGCAAAGAATGAGAGCCACCTTGTCATCCTCTGCAAGAGGTGAGGCGACTGAGTCGCAGTGCGTAATGTCGCATGATCTGTGTAGATCACAAACGACTTTGAGCTAAGCAGGCGCACCCTGAACTTGGCAAGTGCATACTTCATCGCAGGTAATTCCTTGTCGCGGACTGGGTTGTTCCTCTCCGCAGCCTTAAGCTGGCGAGATTCGAACGCGAATACCCGACATTGCCCCTCGGCGTCTGCTGGCAGCAGTACACAGGATGGCAAAGTCCGAAGCGTCACATACGATACTAAATAGACGATCGGGGCAGGCAACACCAGTATTGGTGCATGAAAAACCCTGTCAAAGTCTCTCGATGCTCGGTGTTCAACACCATTCTTTACCCTTCCTAAGGCGATCAGACAATGGCCGTGCCGTTTCCGCATAATTTGCACTAATACTTGTGCAAGTAGTTGGCGAGGCCAAGCCACTTTCGCGAGCCCTTTTGGTTCTTTGAAACCGGCCAGTCCACAATGGCCTTGACCTTGGCAGGATCCGCTCGAAGGCCACGATTTGCACTGAAGCACCCTAAATACGGAATTATATCCGTGTCGAAGATGCACTTATCTGCATTAGTATACAGCTAATTCATGCGCATGCACTCGAGCACCGCTCGTAAAAGGATGGTTTGGTTCTCTACATCCGTCTTCCCGTGCTTCGCACGACAATAGGCGAAGATGTCGTCGAAGTATGTCTGTACATACGCCCGGTGGGCTGAACAGACGATTAAATGTTGCTGGTGCGTTTGACAGCCTTTTAAGCATCACCAACCAATTTTTAGAGCATACTGCTCAAGGTACTCACCGCTGTCAGCGGTATATCGCTCGCTCTCGTGAACATTTGGTAATACCCATCGACTAAGTCAAGTGCACTGGGGTTTGTACATCCAACCATGTTCTTATGGATAACATCCTACTAAGGTATCGGCGTTTGTGCCGCAATGGTGTCAGCGTTGAGCTTATTGTAAGCGTGAACCATGCGCCGGTCACAAAACGTGAGTATCGAATGGGTAGACTTGCCTCTGTAGTCGATGACGTCGCCCTGCCCCTTGGGCAGGGCCATTGGCGTGTAACGCAGTATTTGACTTCCAAAATCAGGTACGCACATCTCAGCCCGGAGGAAGGACCGAGGACGGGTCTTTGAAGACGACGTCTTGGGTTTTTTTCGCCAAAGGTAGTACGAATCCAAAGGATTCTTCAAGATCGACGATCCAATTCGTGCGCTCATCAACCTCTTGGTATTCTCCAGGACAGCTTCATCCAGAAGCAACGACGAGTTGATCTCCTCTTCAGGTCGTAAAATGACCTTTTCGGCTTAGTCGCCTGCCATCAAGGCACCGCTGGACTCTTTGAAGGACATCTAGTCCAGCTCAACAAGAGCATCCACCGCAGTAATAGCCTCGGGGATGACGTCGCCGTTACCCCCTCGTCATACCGTTGACGAGGGTGTATAGCTGTGCGCTATCGTCTACGGTAGCCATACCCTGGATCAGAGTCGACACCCGGCGTCTTGCATCTAGTGTACGGCGTCGCCGTCGCCTCTCCATTGAGGTTGTCTGTCTCTGCGAGACCAATGAGAACACGCACTCAGCGTCGTCCAGTGCTAGCCCTACTTCCTGCTCCACCAGAGCCCTGATGTTATTAACAACAATCGACAAAGAGCTGCAGCCTTTGCCTAGTGGATAACGAGCCGCTTCACGCGCATCAGAAGGTCCTTGTCCACGATTCCTCGGATCTCGTCCGACTTTGCCACTTTTGGCATGCAGCAGCTGTTTTGTAACGTGAGCAGTGATCAGGATAACGTGCCACTCCATGCGCATCTCTCGGGCCTCGCCTTCGATGCCTCGGTCCTTGGCCAATCATGCTACTCTTGGCATGCATCAACTGTTTTGATATCTGAGCAGTGCTCAGTGGGTTACGTGCCGCTCCACGTTCTGACCGCGAGCTGTGCTCGGGATTCTTGTTCAAATCATCTTCTGCGTTCAACAACTTGGATACTCCGATATCCGGCATATTGACCCGGTCCAGTGTCCGCACCAATAGCGTTTTTGCCTCCTTGCAGAAATGGGTTTATGACTCACCAAAGCTCCGCCAGGAGACGTGCGCGTAGCGCCCAAGGTCTTCGAGATCCAGTTGGTCCATGGCACATGGTGTTCCAGCCATGCCTTACCAAGAATGAGGTCATACCTTAAATCCAAAGTTTAAGACTGAGCAGCGTTCCACGCTAACAAAGTCAAGAAACTTGACACCGAGGTCCACAGGGACGTTTGGTTTTGTGACACATGTTCCCGTCGCTAGGCAAGCAGTAACGATGGCACTCAACCGCACCTACAGCGCCTCAGCATACAGCTGACTTCCTCTCATCGTGGAGTGTCGAGCATAATTTTTCGACACCCCGGAATCGATCAGGATCTTCCATGGCTTCTCAAAGTCCTTCACGGTCGCTTTAACGACCGAAAAGACCGACTTGAATTAACGTTCCGTGTTCAAGAGAACGAAGCTGTTCGGGCTGGGCCCTGCTTCCTTTCACCTTTTGAGGCACAAAGGAACTCAGTTCTTCCCCAGTATGCCGCCCCGCGCCATCTGGGTTCAGTCGTTCCCCCGCGACAAACCAGAAGACTGTTAAGAAGCGGGAAGTTGTTTCGATGACGCCTTGTGCAGGGGACAATTAATCCAAAGGTGAAGTTTGTCTCCACAGACTCAACACCGTCGGGTGTTCGAACACTGCTTGGCACCTCGGAGCTCTGCCTCCTTGTCTTCGGCATAGCTGAGGTCCTTCCGTTCGACGAGCTGCTAGAGTGTGCATTCCAGCCAAGTCGTGCCGACTTCAAGTTGAATTTGGCATTCAATGCAACAATCACAACTTCTTCAAAGAAGTCAGGTGCACACGGAAAATTAATTTTCGCTAGTTTAGTGCGGATGCCTTCCATAGAGACGGTCACTGCGACCGCCTCAAGAAGAGGATCGGCTGCCATACCGGCACTGAGAGTACGCAACTATGGGATAGAGTCCACCTATTTCTTGTTGCCCTGTCGGGCGGTAAGGAGACGCGATTGCACGCGATATGCCTGGTTGGGCGGCAAGAACACTCGTGAAAACCGCAGCTTCAGCTCCGTCCAGGAGAAAAAAGCCGCTACGACCGAAGCACTGCACGTCATTGCCACTCTCGTGCTCGGCAACCGAGGTTGGAGATAACTAGTACCACGCACTTGTGCTCGGTCTGAAGCATGGCGGACGCCATGGCTATCTCGACCTCTCTCACCCAGAGAAGGAAATTCTCCTCGTCCTGCCCTCGAAGGTCTTAACGCTCACCATGAGCGGCTTGGGACGAGGGAGTCATCTGTTGCCGACGGCGGCATCATGGACGCAGTCGATGCCGGCTTCATCTGCTTTAGATGCATAAGTAGAGCATTTTCATACCTTGAAATCGCCTCTTGACGCGCGCTATTCCCTTCAAGATCCTTCGAAGCGAGGTGTTGCACACCCTCAGGGCCAAGTAGAGATATCAGCTATTTGAGCCTCCATGCCCGGGTCAAATAAGAAAACTGCTCCATCATCACAAAGGGACAGTCGTAACGACTCAAGTGTAGATTGTGTGACGGGGTTGTACGTGTCCTGGTAGGAAGGATGTGGGTAACACAAGATAATGTAATCACGCAATGGTGTGAAATTCACATCATGCACACAATGGCGTGGCTACACTTAAGTAAGAAGTCAGTACGTGGCAGTAAAGCCAGTAGGGATATATTTTTTGCTATATAGATAGGAAAACCTATAGGTTTTGATATAGGCAGCTTTGCCGCAAATAAATCGAGAAATACAGTAAACGTTTTTAAACGGAAGAGTTAATTAGCCTTGAGTTAAGTTTGTCATTACTCTTGGAGTAAGTGGATTCTGATCCGCCACGCTCGTACTGGTTTTATGTATAGAACGAAAGCCACCAGCCTTACCTAAGCTTCGGCAGCTCCGCTGCATTGTCGTTGCGCACAACGGACCATGATCCTTAAAAGTCACGAATGGTTTAGAGTCAAATCGGTGCATCATGGAATTGACAAGGGCTTACTTCATTTGAGATGGGTCCTTGTCATTAAATGGGCGATTTTTTTCAGCAGCTGTCAGCTGGCGATACTCCAGCGCGATCACGCGTTCAAGCCCATTGGCATCTGGCTAAAGTAAAGTGCTGTTTTTGCAAAGGCTGAAGTGTTATAAACGACAAGGAGTGAAAATTTGAAATTGAAAGAGCTAGAACCGGGCATGTATAATATTTTCATACTTACTCTGTCTGAAATGCCACCTTTATCGCCGCACTATGATAGCATCTAGCATCTTTTTTTTCAAGTATTTTGATGAGGGGTCAGGCCATGTCGGCGTTGTTTGCACTGTATGTGTGCAAGTAGTTGGCCACGCCAAGCCATGTTTACAAGCTCTTCCGGGGCATAGATACTGAAAAATTCACAATGACCTTGATCTTTGAGGGATATACCCGAATGCTATGCAATACAGTAGTCCAGACGGGATTTTTTGTGTGTCAAAAACACACTTGTCTACGCTGACAAACGGCTTATTAAAGTGCATACACTCCAGCACTGCTGTTTATTC